AGGCTAGGAGGGCGAGGTGGTGGAGTCACTCTTTCTGTGAAAGAGGAACTGGAATGCCTGGAGCTCCACCTGGGAGTGCATGATGAGTGAGTTGAGAGCTTGGGAGTAAGAGTTAAAAGGACAGGCTAGTGGGAGACACAGTGGTGGGTGTGTGCTGCAGGCCACCTGGTCAGGATGATGAGGTTGATGAGGTCGTCTACAGACAGCTGGAAGTTGCCTTGTGGYCACAGGCCCTGGTTCTCGTGGGAGACTTCAGCACATTGTATATTTCAGAGCACACACCATTAATCATTATCATAAGCAGATAGGTTGAGAGCTTCATAGTAGTTCATTTGGAATCTTCAGCCTTTTGCTGAACTTCTTCCCTTAGGTCTTCATTAGCTGTTACTGGTTAACATAGCATATTTCTGAGTTAGGCTATCTCAGCAAAAAGTTTCTGCTTGTTCTTCCTCCTCCCCATTCTGCTTACTAAGTGCTGATGCTCCCTTCAGCTCAGCTGCTGACTTAAAAGATATAAAACAGATAAGAATCCATGTCCTGCTGGGAAAAAGTAAGTCTGACAAGAAATTCAGGGCAATGCCTTTATTTTCACGTTAGCCAGATGTCAGGGGCCAGTGATGGGAACTTTTGTGTTGCTGGCTGCCCTGTAGCTCAGTTACTGGTACCAGCTCAGTGGTTGTGCAGAGCAAGACCCCAGCTCCAGCAGTTTACCATCACTCTTTAGAGGCTCCTACAAGTGGGTTGGATTGTAATAGGCTTGATATTGCTATATAGCAAGGGCTTCTCAGGGAGGCCCCAACAGCGATACAAATTTCTTCCCTGTGAAGCTTACTGAACCTCCCTGAGTGGAGCTTAGATTCCTACATAGGGAGGTGGAGATTCCTTGGAAGGCAACTCTACAGCTTCTTCGTATGATGGCAGCACAGCCTAGAAAGAGAAGGTCATTAGACTTGCTCTGGAATCACAACAAGGGTTTCATTTGGATGAATCCAAATGGATTTGATGGATTTGAATGGATCTGGATTTGATCTTAGGCAACTTTATCTTCCAAATTCGAAACAGAGGAAGAAAACTAACTGCACAGGTTGTAAATGGCAGAGGGCAGGGATCCAGAAGAGTTAGAGACACGCAGCACTTTATAACCACTTTACTGGTTGTTCCACCCACTTCTCCCAAAGCATTGATTCAATAAGTGGACCAAGGCTCTGTAATGTCCAGCCTTTCAGCCTTGTTGCATAAGCAAAGAGGTGAAGTTCTGCAGGAAGTCATTCCTGAGAGCCATCATGCATGCGCAGCAGAGGCACACACTGCTGGCAAGACAATACTCACCGTATTTGCTAAGGTTCAGCAAGACAAATGCCTTCACTTAGCTTTCCCTATTCTTCCTCTTTACTTCTCACCTGTCTTCACAGTTTCTCCTATTTTTTAACAATCTTAGAAATCCTTACATTGACTCAAAGCAGCTGGATGCTACTATTAAAGAGATTGTCAATAGTCTAGGTAAGGACATTGATATTCGTGGCTAAGCAAATGGTTAAGATGAAGGGCAATGCACCCAGCCTCTCAGACATTGATCCAGCAAAAAGTGAAGACTAACGATTTTAAGCATGGGTAGTACCATTAGGCACATAGACCAAAGTTCAAGTGAAATTAAAAGTGCATCTCTGGATCAGAGAATAAGAGGGATATACCCTCATTTATCTGCTTTACCTGAAGCCCATGTTTCAGGTTTCTTGATGATTCCTTTGTCTTTGAAAGGTTTTATATCTTTCAAAAATTAAAAAAAAAATATAATTGAAATCTGACCATGAGAACCTGCTGATGTAAAATTGAAGGTTTGAATTATCTCTTAGGCTGCCAAAGAGACAAGATTAAGAACCATCATGCATCTCCCTAGTCCAAACCGTGCATTTTCATTATGGAAAGTAGAGCCTTTACTCACCTTCTCAACTGTTTGTGAGTCAGCTTTCACCTCCCCTCTCTTGCTGGCTTTAACGTACTTAAAGCAACCGAGGACACATTTGAACATATAGGCCTGAGAAAGAGAGAGAAGTCCACCAATGCAAATCAACAACAGCATTTCCCCTTTTGCCAACAGCTGACCACTGCTCTACTGTCACCCTAGAAGTGAAAGCCTTACAGAACAGTAGGTATTGCACGTCATGGCCTCAGATCAGTCTGGACCCTTTGCTAGAAAGGTGTCAACCGCACTTGTTCGGAGCAGTGCAGAGGTGTGAGGAGTCAATTAATAACATTATATACAAAGGACATGCTCAAGACCCCCAAGAGCTCAAGGTCATCAGGAAGGAAAGGGAAACATGTTTTATATCCATATTATTTTTCTGAGCAAGACATAAAGTTCATGTGCTTCAGAAAAAAACCCTGGGGCTTCACATCCCAGAAACACCAAGACCTGCTGGTCAACAAGGACTGACCTGAAAGGTCAGCTCATTCAAGATGAGCAACCCTTCCTTGCACCTCAGAGTTGTAAGATAAAATAAAGGTTTTTGTTTGTTTGTTTGTTTGTTTTTTTAGAAAAATGGTTCAATTGACAGATTGAGGCACAAGAAAATAAGCAAAGTCTGTGAAACATACCACATTAAATAAATATTTTCCCTACTACGTGCAGTGTGGCAAAGTCATGTGCCTCTTATTTTTTTTGGCATAAGACTGTACTTTAAAAACAGTAGGCATTTTCAAAAAAACACATGGAGTTATATGCCCCAAGAACAAGATATCTAGCTTAGGACTTGCTGAAACAAGGACGGCTGTTTCTCTTGACACAAAGCCAAGACAAAGAACAAGGAATGAGTTTTTTGTGTTGAAGGAACCCATCTCACATGGACCTCCAAAGACAAGGAAGTAAATCCAAATGTAGACAACTTTGAAGTAATATTGTAAAAGCCTTCCTCTCTCTAAAACCTGCCCATACACAGTGCAAATATGCACAACACAGAAACCACCATTTAAACTGAACCAAAACCACTCATCTTCTGAAGAAGCTCCAGTAAATGAAAATAAAGAGGTAAGAACTCTCCTCCCCTTTCTTAAACAACTTTGATTCCAGAGGAGTTTGCTTCAGTGCCAATCCAGCATCTACACTGAAATCAATGAAGGAGTTGACTGAAGATGTTCCCAGTGAAGGGAACAAGCATTGTGCCAGATCCCCCAGAAATGCATTACATTAGGAACTGCCTTCATTTCTCAGAGATGCTTTGTTCCTCTTGATTTCTGCATTCTCATCCACCATGGCTGTGGAAGAAACGTTCATTTATATGAGAAAAAGGTTTCTATGAGCAAAGAGCGGGAGGAGTGACTCAGTCCTCTGAGCACTGTTGAAGAAATACTTCCTGCTCAGAGGGACAGCAAGTCCTTGCAGGTCCCACAGAAGAGTCACAGGCAGAAACAGGTAGGAAAGCAGGTATCCAGACTTTTCCACCTGACAGATCCACCTTCTTACTCTGTAGAGTGAGATGCACACTATTTGGGGGAAGAACTTGCCAGCTGGGGGGCAAACAGATGACAACAGACATACAAAAACAACATATCAATGGAAGGGCAATAAAAGCTTGTGAAGGGCCACAAAGCAAGGCATTTTATGGTAAAAGATCCTGGACTCATCAAGCATATTTAGATGCTATTCCTGGTTGTGGGGGGGGGACAGGGAGATACACTTTTTGACAGTGAGTGTGCCAGAGCCCTGGCACAGGCTGCCCAGAGAGGCTGTGGAGTCTCCTTGTCTGGAGATGTTTAAAACCCGCTTGGCCGCAGCCCTGTGCCCCGTGCTCTGGGTGACCCTGCGTGTGCAGGGGGTTGCACTAGGTGACCTCTGAGGTCCCTTCCAACCTTAAGCATTCTATGATTCTATGGGCCCTAAATGGGCCAAATGACCTTTTACTTTCTAAAATATTGCATGTTGTTGTGTTCCTCATCAAAACTTAATCATTTGTCAATCACAAGCTCTCATAAAATATGTTTTGGTTACACATGGGAAAGGAGTGAAGCGACTGTCACTGTGTTCAAAGGATGGAGTTCTCGGTGACTTCTTGTAGCGGAAGGAGAGGAATTATAAGGACTTTAGTAGACCAAGGAATATTTGTGCGTGTCCAGTCTCCTCACAGACTCCAACACAAACAGCCACATTAAGTTAGATAATCTCGTAGCTTGTTCTGGGTAAAATTGCAGCCAAGCACTGTTTTCTATGTCAGTGAGATTTCTGCTGAAGACTCAGAGCGCTATGCCAGTCAGGTGTCAGTGTTATCTCTAGAGCGTATGGCCTGAAGTTCTTGCAAATACCAAAAGATATACTGAAGTGATGCCTGAAGTGCGATCAAATAAGACATTATGCTCGACGATGCCTTGTCTGACCACTTGGAAAGCATGTGGATTTAAAAAAAACCACTTTCCAGCTAATAAGTAGCACTTTTCACTGTGATAGAGTCTACTCAAGTACTTGGAGAGCTCTAGTGTTCTTAGCTGGTCTGAAACCCCTGAGTGAGAACCTGTTGTCCAGTCCATTGAAGCAGGAAGAACAGAATGCTCTTCATGGTGAAGTTTCCTAAGAGGTAAGCAGGATTTAACAGCTCACAGGTTTTAATTAAGTTTCGGGATATCAGTGTGCATAACTCCATTCACATTAGTGCAGATACGGCAATTTGCTTGTGTGGAAGATGTAACCTGCTGCTTAATGATCTAATTTGTTTTGGCATACAATAGCAGAATACTGTCCTGTATTTGTTTCCAAACTTCTTATCTTTCTAGAAGTGAATGGGTAGGAATTGGCTATAAATGTGAAAGAGGCTTTGCTTTTATATCTCACACTTGCAGAAAGATATAAACAACTCAAATATCAAACCTACCTCAGACACTGATGCTATTAAGCACAAGAGAAGGCCAACAAGGCTTTCCAATAAGCCCTGGCAGGTTAGAGAGTGAAGAACTGATTCCTTCTATTCCCCAGATAAGTAAGCTGTATTTCAGCCTTCATGACTCAGCAGGGCCTGCAGGCATTTACCTTGAGGAAGAGGACAGCAATGAATGCAATGGTGAAGATGACCATTATTTTGGCATATTCTTCTTTTGGTAACTTCTGACGGGTTGGCAAGAAGACCTGTGAAAACAGGAGAGGGTCTCCGTCACAAACTCTTATTCCTCTACGGTGTCACACAGAGTTGTGGATATCACCACAAGTTTCTCAGCCTGGATTTCCAGAAGATAGGAAAAGCCCACTTTCTTTTTCCTTCTTGAGAAAGGCAGATCTCCAGCTGCTCAGAGGTATTGCTACTGTTTACACTTCTTTGTTAAAAATTTTCAGAAGAATTTTCAAATGAGAATCGAAGAAGTATGACTATTTAATAAAGATGAAACTCTGATGTGTTTTCTGTGTACACAGGGAGGCTGTATCCAAATCACTCTGCCCTGCAATTTGCATCCTTAGGATTCTTACAGAAAAAACAGGGTGTACTTTTAAGGAACGATTGCATAATCAAACTGTCAGTCAAGAACACCGTGTTTTTGGGAACATATGGCAAAATCCTATTTTATCACCAAACAGGAATTCCGGATATACTGTGAAGAAAGCTTGCTTTGTCATAACAACTGCTGAAATAAACTTCCAAGTGGTTAACAGCATGACAGAAATCATCTAGGCTTGCTCACTACCTACCACATTGTCCGAAGACTTGAGGCTGAGATAGGTTGCGACCTCCATGTATGAGCTACACAGAGTGAGGATCCTCAGACTGAAATCCAGTAGCTGCAGAGCCAAGAAAGGGATCTTTGAATGTCCCTGCTGCACAGGCGAGAAGAGGAAAATGTTTTCTTTAGGGTTATAAGATTATACGACATTTATAGAGTTGCCCTATTTACACAGGGTCTGTGTTTTATTCTCATTTACAGCCTAATATATTTAATTCACTTATGCTAGCTGAAACGTTGACTCTGGAGAGCATGGTGGTATTCATAGCTTATCTCCAACCATTTCCAGCATTGGCACACGACTTCCCCAAAGCCCTGAGAAACATAAAATTAATAAACAGGAACATTCCAAAATGTGGGAAAACAACTTATGTTGCAGCTATCACTGCTTCTCCTTGGGCACACTCAAATCCACCAAGGCTGTGTCCTGTTTCCAACAACAGGCAGTGTAGGAACTACATAGTCATGAAGAATTGTGACCTCAAATAATAATACTTAATTACTAATTTTGCATCAATCTCCATCTCATACTACCCTTCCCCATATCACCACCATCCCAGAAGGAAGTTGTTACCTACCACGTGGCTTAGAGATGACAAAGTAATGATTGCTGGGACTTGTATGTAGGAGCTGAACATTGTTAGGAGGCTGAGGAGAAAGTCCATGATTTGTAGAGCAAGGAATGGAATCAGGAGACGTTCTCTCCTCTGAAAAAGAGGTAAAAGAGTGCTAGTCATTTCTATTCTAAGCAAAATACTGTGAGTAGGTATCAGTATTTGAAAGGCCATGTAATAAGATACTTTAGGAACAAATCCTTTCTTGAAATCTCTGCACCTAATTCCATATACTGCATTGGCAGTTGCTTCAGAAAGTGAAAGACATCAAAATTCATTTTCATTTTTTCTTCCCCATGGAGTTTTCCTAAGTGGCATTGACACTTCATCACAGAACTGTTGTTTAGCTACCACAAAAGTTTTGCTACAAGTAAAGATGGGTTCCCAGACCAAAACTGGGCCAATGGAAATCTAATCCCCACTGTTGTAGGAGAGTTAGAGTTTAACTCCAGAGTCTGACTTGGAGCAGGGGAATGAGGCAATGCCACAGCATTTCTAAATCATAACATTCCTCAACACAAAAAGTAGTTAGGATTGAAATATCATCCAGATTTGGTAATCTTGGCAGTTAGTAGCTTTGCAAATGATCTAACAATCCACATTTTCCTTTTATAAAAGAATTGAGACATTTGTCTACCATTATGATCATCACCTACTTCATACTTCAGTGTTTTCACTAATTGTTCTTCTGGTGCCCTCCTCTACTACCTCCTAGTTCAGAGAGGCCCAAAAAGCTGCTAGATGTTATTTGTGGAGAGCATACCTTCACCACAGCAAGGAGGAGGTTGAAGCTGATGACAAACAGCATGATGATCAACCGGAAACTGGTGACGACATCAGCTAAAAGTAAAAGAAATAAGATATTAAGCTGTAACTTTCAGTGATGCAGTAATTAATTCAAGCACACCTCTAGGGGACATTAAAAGCACAATTATCTGTTATAGAAAGAATAGATGGAAGTGGGAAAACCCTGCAGCTGGCAAGTGGGAAATTGCTGCTTTCCCTTTTTACTGCCACTTTTTCATCTGTTTGAAGTTTGTTTCTTTAGCAACAGAACACTAGGCTGCACAAGCTGTCTGCTCAGGCAGATGGGAGCCAAAACCTTTATTGCCTGGATCAAAATCCTATCCTGAACCAGAGCATGGAGGTAAAATCAAATAGTAAGATAGGAAGAGTGATTTTAGGTAATGATTGATAGGTCTGATTTGGAAATTACTTTGTGGGCTCCAAGACAGATAAGTTAAAAACAGTAAGAGCTGAGGAGAGGTCTGGAAGATATTCGATCAGCATGTGCAGGTTTCAACCACCTACCACTAGTATGGACTTCAGAATTTCAGGGTGAAACATCTCATTGCCAGTCTCTGTAGATGTATGATGTGCCTTATTAAAAATAAATCTATGTGTGAGGAGAACAGCATAAGACACTTCTTAGCCTGCCAGATAATCTTTGTTAACTGCTTTGGATCCAGGAAGATGGTTTCTATGTGCATAGCTGCCTACAGACCAGTTCTCAGGAAGCAATTTTCTTTCTTCTTAGTGCAGCCTGCCCTGACAAGGTCCACTGAAGCCTTCTTTACACAGGATACACACTTGGGCTTTATAATGGTCTGGCTAGTGTGAAATTTTTTCATAAARTTATTTTGATTCTTGCTGGGAGGAAGCAGATCTCTCTAAAAGCAGAACACTGCTAGGTTCCTTATCCACCTCCACATAATGTCCAGTCTTTCAGMGTGCCTCTTCCAACTCACTCTCACCCTTTCATTCTTTGTGCTTTTTATTTGGCTTAAATAGCAGCTGCCTGTTTGAGGTCTCTAATTTCCAAATGCTAGAAGAAAGGGTTTAAATCCAGTAGAAAAGATTTACTAGTTTTATCTTCTTTAAAGCAGCCAAAAAATTCTCTTAGCCTCAGGAAGATCTGATTGTCTGTTAGCATCCTCTCTACTATKCTTTTATTAAATAAATCCAGTGTCTAACKAYATCTCTTCTAGTACCCCTTTCAGCTCTTCCTCCTACTTTAATAAAGAATTCTAGAAATCTTGCTTTAGCAAGCCTGTTGGATTCACAAAAGATTCCAGCTGCAACGAAAGCCTCCGCTGCTCCCCTTTACTCCTTCTCCACTTCTCCCATGAAGATTGCACTCCATCTTCCCCAGCTTTGCCTTTTGCCTAKTCTTGGYACCGTGTAAYACCCTTGGTTAGGGGGAAAAGGAGCTTATTTCASAGTTAYWGGACACACCATGYTGTCWTYAACCAGATAATGCCAACACTGCCATTCACAACAGCAAAATGAGCAAGAGTGGTTCCAATTATGGTTGTCCCAAGCTGAGAGAGAGCAATAGCAGAGAAGGGCAGACCTCCACCCAGGGCTGCATACAGCGTGTGGCAGGACATCAGTGCCCGTTAGATGCAGCAGCTGCAACATACGCAAACTGTCAAGCACTATATCCATATGAGGAGAGTATGGATTAATGTCAGCAAAAGAAAGGACTCAGAAATATGACCAAAAACAAGAAATGGAGCTACTGAGAAGCTCTGGAGACCTTCTAGGGCTGTAAAGGACTTGCCAGCCAGGTTGAGCCTCAGTGGGCAGTGAACGCAGGTGGCAGCAGCAAGGTGGGGAATTTTACATCAATAAAAGATAAAAGATAAAAGGTGTCCAACAAATCCTTAATCTGTATCAGGAAAAAAAGAACTCTTACAGCACAAAAACAGGAAATGCCTTTTGCTTATAGATTGAGAAAGAAAAAACAATCAGGATTTGTTTACCCCAAGGTGATGAAAACTGAAATACAGAAGAGGAGGAGGAAGTCATGGAAAACTGCATAGAAAGCAAGAAGCCAAATCCACAAAGCCCAAATCAAAAGAGACAGGAAAGATGCTGCTGCAGAAGAGACTGCTTGCAACTTTGAAGCTCTTGACAGTCGAAGGAAAAACCTAAGCAACAAGGCAGAAAACCAAACTGGCCTCTCACAAATGGGAGGATAGAGACAAGGCCGTGATTCAGTGCACAGAGGATTAAAGAGTCTTGAACCATGAGGTTAGCATGAGGCCAGCATAAAAATGAAGAGGGAAAAAAAAGGCTTAAAAACAACAGAGACAGACATAAAAAGGAGACCCTATCCTGACAGACCTACTCTCATTAAAATCAAAAATACTGCTGTGATGATACTGAGGAAAGCAAAGTTTTGGAGCTAGATTGGTACGTTGTTCTAACAAAAACCTGGGAAAACTGCAGCCAGCATTCTCCAAAGCAATCACCAAGCAAGTCTATACTATGCACTGAACTGAGCTACAGCTGCAGAGGGGGCCATTTAGACCATGACTCATTGAAATAACCTTCAAACCCACCCAGACTGAGCTGCTTCTGAAATAATGCTGTAGGTGAAAGGTGTAAACTATAACATGAAACATTTGCTTGGTGCCTTCTTAGGAAAATTCATCCAAATTTCCATTTCTTACTCATGATTGATGCTTAATCCCTTTTGAAATAGCCTAAGTGAATCTTAGCCATACTTAATAAAACCCAACCGGGCTCATTTGAAAAATGTGAATCCAGCTGTTAGTAGTAACTTCACTCAGACAACAAACACCTCTGTTTTAGTGCTTTTCACTATGTCTGACTGCTCTCCTGGAGACAGTGAGTCTGGCTGTTCAGGAACCTGATGTACTTGTTTCCATATTGCTCCATGCATGGTTTCCCCCCCTACACAACCTAGGGGAGTGAGGAAGGACACACTGGATGAGCTGGCAAGTCCTTGCTGCTATAGGTTGTATTTCTTTCTGGGAAATTCTTGCAACATAGGGCGTGAAAGTCTCATTTTCAGCTTTCTGAGCWTAGCAGAGAAAGGTTATCTTAGCTTGAAGATTCACACTCAAGAGTGACTAAGAAGTTCTCTGCATTTGTTGCTTTCACCCAGTTTCATGCAAAATTAGCATTTTGACATGACATACATGACATGCTATACATGACAAAGTAATATTTGAGGTTTGGGAGCTACAGGACGTGGGTTGGTGCAGCCCTTGGAAGTGCCCTTAGCTTTTAGGTAGGAGATCCCTACAAGGTGTGATGGGTGATGTAGAGGGCCAAGGGCATGGATGCACGACATAAAGGGCAATGAGGTGGTGACAGCCTTGGGTAATCCACCCAGCTGTGGAGTTCATTGTCCAGAGTAGCTCTATGAAAGAACTGTTTTTTTCAGCCCAATACTTTCCTATAAAATAACTAATGTGAGAAGAGGCCCAAGAGAACGTGTAAGTGATCTACACATGGGGAAAAGAAAGAGAAAGAGAAAATAGCATTGACCGCAAAGAATATTGCAGAGAGAAAAGCAAGGCTGGAGTAGTAGTTGAATCTAGATTTCTAGAGCATAAGCTTTTTTTTTTTTTTTTTTTTTTTTTTCCCCAGGTCTGAGCTCCAGGCCTGTTGACTCTGAATATTCTTTTAGTTTTCTGTAAGGGGGAGAAAAAGAGAGTGAGGGGTACAGGACTGTGGGCTCCCTTTCAACCCCATGTGTGCAGGAGCCCAGTGGCCTACCAGTTCTGTAGTAATCCTTGTCCAGGKCTTTGCAGTAGCCTTTCCCACTAGCCACCTCCAGGGAGTACTCCATCAGGAGCAAAACACTTACAACCTAGGAGAACAAAAGCAAAAGACACGATTTGGTGGGTTGTAGGCCAACTTCCTATCAAAATTTTCCAGAGATCGTAGTCTCAAATGCATGATGTCTCTCCAAGTGAGACAGAATCATTAAAGGTTTAAAATAACTTATTCTTTACACAGAAACACTGAGGCAAAAGTTATCAATTATCACTGCTATAGCTTTCTCTCTCTCTCTCTCTTTTTTTTTTTTTTTTATTTTTGTTTTGTTTTTTCTTTTTTTTCTTGCCAGCTTCTGAAGGAGAATGGAGGAATTACCAAGATAACTAATTGTGCTTTATGAAGCACTGGGCACCATGGGCCTGCACTCCTTAAGGCTGGAGTCCGTTGTCTGTACCACTTCAGGCCACAGGTCTGGGGAGTTTCCATGCAAGTAAAACTAGGAAGCAAGTAGCCACGATGCCAGATAGCCCTGCCACAGCCACCCTAGGGCAATTTCCCCCCTGCCAGCCTGTTCACTGCAAACAGTACGTGATGAGGAGATCAAATGCACTGCAGATCAGGACACAAGGAGTCCAAACACAGAACAGAGCATCAGTCAATGCCCACACAGTCACCAGAGCAACTACAGCCTCTCAGGAGCAAAGGACTTTTCAAATTTCATGTATTTCTCCTTCCTCACCCTCTCACCACTTTTGGCACTATATG